GGGCCGCAGTGCTGGGACATACATCATGGTGCCCAAGTCCACCGGCCTCACCTACGCATACGGCCAGCAGGACTGGGACTGCTCACCCGCAGGCATGCGAGGGCGCATATGTGCGGCCCGATGCCCGTTGTGGGGTACAGGAGGTGCGCTGCTGCTCTCGGCATATATGTGAACAGGCGAAGGGCTGTCTGAACGCAACCTGCAGATCCTGGACCGCATCGGCGAGCTCACAGAGATGCGTGCAGTCCCCTGGATTCTTGGCATGGACGCGAAAATGGAACCCCACACCTTGCACGAGTCGGGCTGGCTCCAAGATGTGGGAGGAGTGCTCCACACTACGGGTAAGGTTACATGCGACAGCATCGGAGGAGGACGGGAGATCGACTACTTCGCGGTCGCCAAGGGCCTCAGCCCTGCCCTCAGCCAGGCAAAGAGGGTAGAGGACAGTGAGGTCTCCCCACACTGGCCAGTGCGGATGCGCTGCCAGAAGCAGCCCAGGGAGGCCAAGGTGCTGCGCTTCATCAAGCCGCTGGCCTTCCCCAAGGCGCTGCCAGTCGGGCGTGCGCCGCAGCCACAGCAGCGGCCGTCGTGGCCGATCAACCACACGGGCAGACTTGACCAGGAGGACCTGGACAACTACTGGCGCCAGGTCTCGCGCACGGCAGAGGAGGAGCTCATGGGCATATGCCAGATCCCAGAGGAGGAGCGCCCAAGGTACCGCGGCCGAGGCGATGCGCCGAAGACAGTGCTCACGCCGCTCCTGGGCCCCAAGGCGAGGGATGGCGCAGGGCAAACGGCGGAGGCCACGGCTTGGCGCTGGGCGGCCAACAGGATTGGCAGCCGCATACTCGTGGCTCAAGCAACCAGGGCGAAACGCCCAGACCAAGTACGGGTGGCATGGCTACGCGAGTGCCTCAGCAAGGCGGTGCACCGAGGGCGACACCGCCTACGGCAGCTCGGGGACACGGGACAGTGGCTGGACCACCGCCTCTTCGATATCGAGCACTGGAGGCTGCACGAGGATGGCGCGGAGGAGCGGCTCACCGCAATCATGGAGATACGACGATGGCCCCTCAGGCAGGCCAACAAGATAGTAAGCACGGTGGCTCGGGAGAGGGCCAAAGCGTGGAGGGGTCGCCTCATGGATGGCAGCAAGGGCGCATCAGGTTCCTTGCACCGCATGGCACGATGGCGCCATGCCGAGCGACCCCCCGCGCCCATCGCGAAATACAAGAAGGACGAAATTGAGTTGCTCGACGGGCAGACGCTGGTGGATGGGCATGCTCACCAGCGGTACCAGCTCTGGGCATCGCACGGGGCCGACAGCAGAGGAGAGCATGACCGACCTTGGGAAGGACGAGTCTACCCTGCACCACTCGTCAGAGTATCGGCCGATCGGTTCAGGGAGGCGGCCAGGCTGTTCAAGACAAGCACTGGCATAGGCCCTGACTGGTGGCACCCGAGATGGTGGACGTGGCTATCGTCGGAAGGCATCCAGGCGCTGGTCGACCTCGCAGAGTACATACTCCGCCACGTTCATTGGCCCACCCAGGTAGAGCTGCTGGCCTACTTCCCGGCGCCGAAGCCGCGCGAGGATGGGCGTCGCCCGCTGGCCCTCTTATGCTCCCTGGTCAGAGTGGTGGAAACGTTGATGGCTGATGAGTATCGCAAATGGGAAGAGATGGTTGCACGGCCCCATGACTGGGCTAGCAGAGGCAAAGGTGCAGAGGACGCGATGTGGGACCTCATGCTCAGGGACGAGAGCTGCCCAGAGGACCACATCAACGCAGCTGTGGTGAAGGACTTGTCCAAGGCGTTCGAGCACGTCACCAAGAGGCGCCTGTGGGAGCACGGGCGCAAGCTGGGGATGCCAGAGCAGGTGCTCCACTTCATGATTTCGATCTTCACTATGGAGAGGGTCGTCACGCTGGATGGCATGGCGGCTTCTACACGGATGCGAACGTGGTCGGCAGCGGCTGCAGGCAGTCGCGGTGGCACATGGGCGCTCAAGTGCTTCACCATCATCCTGCTAGACATGGTCAACGCCAGGCCGTGCCTGGAGGGGGCCAAGAGGTACGTCAAGCTCTGCGTCGACGACACCACGCTCCACCTGCAGGGTGAGCGAGAGGCGGCGGTGCATGAGGCGAAGGAGTCGGCGATGGCATACATTCAGGCAGCCGGGGCAGAAGGCCTCCCTCCGTCGCTCACCACGCACAAGAACGGCGCCACAAAGAAGGGCAAGAGCTATGTCTACACGGCAGACAAGCAGGCCAAGGCCAAGTTCAAGCTTTGGGCGAAGGACTGGGGCCTGGAGATACAAGATGAGGGCGTGCAGCTGGGCGTGGACTTCACGGGCGGCGTTGGTGCACAGCGGCGGCCCAAGCAGAAGGAGCGCGTAGAGGTCATGGTCACGAGGGGCACCAAGCTGAATATCCTTAAGAAGCAGGGCGCCAGCCTTGGCACGGCTAGGGTAGCCAAGCTTGGATTCTTGCCGCCCATACGCTATGGGGTGGCCTGTATTGGAGCGCCGCCGAAGCTCATCGAGAGCGCTCGCATCAACATGCCGATGGCACTGAGTGGCGAGGCCATGGGCAAGGATCGCACCTTGCGCCTGTGGCTCGAGGAAGCTGGTCCACCTTTGAGCCTCACCATTCGCCCCGTGGTGAAGTGGGCAGAGGTGGTATGGAGTCGGGCCATGGACGAGGAGGCTATGGCCGCGGCATGGAGGAAGGCGTCAGCGCGGCTGGCCGCGACAGGCACGGTAGCATGGTCGGCAGTCAGAGGACCTGCAGAGGCAGTCTTGAGGACCCTGCGAGACCTCGGCTGGTCATGGCCAGCGCCGCGGACGCTGCTCACACCAGCGGGCGACCAGGTGTCATTGCACACGGTGGCGCCTAAGACGGCCAGGTACAAGCTGGAGAGGGCCATCGAGCGGCAGGTCCTCACCAAGTGGGCCACAGAGAAGGGCATCGCCGAGGAGGTACCGATGCCGTTCTTGGAGCCAGTGAGGGCGCTGCTCAAGAAGCGCAGGTGGGCTGCCCATCAAGGCGCCATCAAGGCCTACGTGGGGCAGAACTATTGCACGCAGGCCAAGCTCCAGCAGCGTGGCACGGTAGCAGACGGCATGTGCCAGCAGCGCATGCGCGCGCTAGGCACTCAGAGGCACCGCTTCGGGCGTTGCGAGGCCCACGAGGAGAGCAGGGCCAAGCTCGCAGACAAGCATGCGGGCATCGTGCAGCGCATGGCGGGCTCAGGCGAGAGCTTGCAGCTCAACTGCGGCCTGGTGGCGCACCCCATCCACGATGTAGAGGGCGACACCCAGATCGAGCAGTGCCATTCGGTCAACGCAGAGGGCGATGACGTCAGCGAGGACGACGTCATGCCCTTCATCTCGGGGTCTGCTTCACTGACGGTCCGGGCAAAGGCGCCAACACGCTCAAGGGCTACGGCTGGGGATACATGTGGTTCGAGGAGCCAGCGGGCGAAGGCCAGTACACGGCGCTTGGTGGAGCATACGGTAGCTTGCCAGGAGTACGAGCTGATCTGTCGGTGGGGCGGGCTGAGCTCCAGGCCATCTGGCACGCCCTGCGCAGGGCCACGGCCCCCACCATGCTGGTCACCGATTACGAGATGGCGGTGAGAGGCATGAGGAGGGGCCGACAGTGGTGCACGGCGCCGCAGAGGAGCAACTGCGACATCTGGATGCGCATCTGGAACGTTGTGGACGAGACCTTCCCGAACATGGATGGCCTCACGGTGGCGCATGTACGGTCGCATGGCAGAGGGCAGAACGCGAACGCGTTCCATGTGCACGGCAACAAGATCGCCGATGAATTGGCGGTCAAAGGTGCGCAGCTGGCAATGCCGCCGCAGTGGCAAATCGACGTCTGGCAGGACCGCTGGAAGACGGTACAGCAGGCGCTGGCTTTCGTGGCAGACATGGCAGTGGAGGTCGGCGACTTCGGAGACGTCGCGATGCCCACCAAAGAGGAGGCACGGGCACAGCGCCGACGAGAGGCCCAGCTATGGCAGCCCGAGGCCAACGAGGCGAGGCCTGTCATGACCTCGGCAGGGCAGGCCACGGCCACATGGGCGACAGCTGCGGCGGCGGCAGCGGCAGCGGCAGCAGGCGCATCGCCTGAGGAGGTGGCGGCTGCAGCCGAGGAGGCTGCGAGGGTAGCGACCCAGCCAGCAGCTGCAGCCGCGGCCGCGGTGATGCTGCAGGATCGGGCGCGCCTGATGGCCCTGTGGCTCGAGGACGGCCGCGGAGCCCGACGTACAGGAGGCACAACTTCGTCACGGAAGACCATTGGCACAGGTGCCTGGACTGCGGCGCGCGCTCCAAGGTGCTGGGGGCCAGAGCGGCGCAGTACAAGCGCCAGCGGTGCCTCGGAGTGCGGCAGCGAGTGATCAATGAGGGTGGCTCTGTGCATAGGAGTCGCAGCCGTGGCCGAGGCGCCGCGACGCCTAGCCCCCAGCCGCTCGAGCCTGGTGTGCCTGCCCCTCCTGCTGCTCCCCCACCTCCTCCTGTGGGGCCAAGCTCGGGGCCAGCCAGAGCTAGTGGGTGCGTGGCCAGCAGGGCCCTAGACCCAGCGCAGGGGCACCAGCTGTACCGCGCGGGGCCGTACACATTTTGTAGCCGATGCGGGGTACGGTGCTCGGGGCGTGTTTTTCGGCCCCTAGGTGGCCGCTGCCAAGGTCGGGCGGCCTCGAGGCAGGTCACCTGCACGAAGGCGAAGTTGCTCGGTGGTTGGCACCCCACGAAGGTGGGCGTGCGCGTGGCCGAGGGAGGCAGCAGTGCGGCTCTCAGACTGGGAGGTCCGCGCCTTTTTCGGGGCGGCCTAGTGGTTGCCTGCAGCACAGCTCGCGAGCAGCCGTTGCGCCGCGAAGCTTTGCAACGGCAAAAAAACATGAGCACGGTTAGGAATGAACGACGTATGGGTTTTCCTGTTCCCCGAATTTGTTTCGCTCGCCGTACTCGGCGTGCCACTTGGCCCCAG